CCTACGCCGAAGGTGCACTTCTCCGGAGTAGGCAGACAGACTTCAACTGGGATAACAGCCTCAGCGCCGTATGTTAAGCGGAAAGGGGTTTCCCCAGTGGGAGTCCGAGCTGTAGTTCGATAAGCCCAGAGTATATTCGGTAGCTCCTCTGCCCAAAGTCCCTTAGCAGCTTCTAGCTTAGTTTTGATGATCTTCAGGAGAGAGCGGTTGGTGACCTCAACTTGGCCATTGGCCTGGGGATGGCCAGGGGATGAGAAACAAGGTTGAATCTGGAGGTCGGCACAGAACTTCCTGTACTTGGCGTTGTCAAATTGTTTACCGTTGTCGGAGATGATGGCCTGAGGAATGCCAAACCTGCAAATGATCGACTGCCAGATGAACTTGGTTGTGTTCCGCTCGGTGATGGTGGCAAGAGGTTCTGCCTCGACCCACTTGGTGAAGTAATCAATGGCGACGATCGCGAACTTGGTCTGGCCTCGGCCAGTAGGGAGTGGACCGACCAAGTCGATCCCCCATTTGGCGAACGGATAAGGGCTGCAAAGTGTGATCAACTCTGTAGGGGGTGCATGGGGGATGTTGGCAAAATGTTGACACTTATCATATTTGAGCACGAAATCGGTCGCATCATGATTAAGAGTGGGCCAGAAATAGCCAGTACGGAGTATCTTGTGGGCCAGGGACTTGCCGCCCGAGTGATTGCCGCAGATCCCCTCATGAATTTCTTGCATCACATAAGTTGCTTGAGTCGGATTGAGGCACCGCAGATAGGGACGTGAGAAACCACGTTTGTACAAGATGCCGTCAACAAGGATGTAATTGGACGATCGTGCCCTGACTTTGGCAGCTTGCTGGTGGTCATCTAGAAGTTCCCCCGCTGTCAGACATCGAAAGATGTCTGACGCCCAAGGGATGGGCTCATTTTGGAGGAATTGTACTTCATGCTAGTCGGGAGAAATGGCGGGGTGGGATAGGTATTCGAGGCGGACACCACTGCTGAGGGCGGACTGGTCTGCGGAAGCCAACTGGTCCATCTCATCTACCTTAGAGTTCTCCGCTCGAGGAATGTGCTTGATGTGAAAGGTATTGAAGAGGCGAACAAGGGGAAGTGCAAGATCCCTGTAAGTCCACATTGTGCCCTCCTTGGCGTCGAATTCGCCCGTGATCTGTCCGACGATGAGCTGAGAGTCGCTGAGCACTCGGATGTGGCTGACACCAATGTCCTTAGCTAGGCAAAGGCCTGCTATCAGTGCCTCATATTCGGCCTCATTGTTACTGGCCTCAAACAAGAAGCGGAGCGCACATTTGAAATAACCACCCTCAGGGCTGGTGAGAATGAGGCCAGCCCCACTACCTTGCCTGCGGGATGATCTGTCGATGTTGAGAGTCCAAGAGTGAGGGTCTTCTGGCTCGATGGGAGCTGACAGGGGTGGAGAGGCAGTGGTTGGGGTAGGATTAGTGAATTCCAAGATGAAGTCGGCGATAGCCTGTCCCTTAATTGTTGTTCGAGGCCGGTAAGAGATGTCAAACTGGATGAGTTCCACTGACCACTGCATAAGTCTGCCGGAAAGTTCTAGTTGCTGCGTGACCTTCTTCAAGGGTTGATCGGTGAGGACCACTATGGAATGGGCTTGGAAGTAAGGACGGAGTCGTCTAGAGGCGTTGACCAAGGCTAAGGATAATTTTTCTAACAGGGGGTAATTCTGCTCTGCTCCCCTGAGAGCCCGACTGATGTAGTAGACCGGTCGTTGGACAGAGTCATCTTCCCTGATAAGAGCTGCACTGACTGCGGTGCTTGAGACGGCTAAATAGAGGAAGAGGGACTCGCCCGTAATCGCTTGTGAAAGGAGGGGTGGATTAGCCATGCACTGCTTTAG